ATTCATGACTCTCCCAGGTTCCTCTGCTATTGTATTTTCTACATCCCCTTTGACTGGACACAACTGTTCTTTATCTGTGTCCTCCCAAGCTTATCCTACTTCTCTGAGCTTCCTGAATACTATATAGTGACTAATCATTGCCCCTTTCAATGTATCATCAGCAAAATTCAACCCGATATAGCCTCCTTATTCCATGTTATAGTTTTACAAGAGAAATTCCCTATCATTTTTACTTCTCTTCCTCTCAACTAATAACTGAACATTTTCTCTCCTTCCTAACATTGTTAATCTCAAACGTGTACATTGTGTTCTAGATCAAAAGGTCCAAGGCCTTAAACCAATGTCAAAGAGCTCTATGAAGAAAACACTTCGCTTATCCTCACTCTAAATAACACATGTTCAGATGTTCAAATGACAAATATTGCCAACCTGTTTAGTTACTGTCCCTCTCATAGACTCCCTGTAAACCACCCTCCTCACATAAAATGACAGTCATGCCTCCAATCCACAGCACCCAAAGCTCTCCCTATATAAATATGTAGACAATAAAACTGCAGGTGGTATCCAAAAAATTAAAAAAAAAATAAAATAAAAAAAAAATAAAATCAACCCCCCCCAAGAAAAACCCATCATAAATGGAATGTTGTTCAGAAATAGCTGTTTTATTTAACAGCTATTCTTTTTTATTGAATAAACATTTTCAGTATGCATTCTGTTAATTGACCTGACAGCATATGCTGTATATGGAGAAACTTCTAAACATTATGCTCTATGTAATATGCTTATCTGAAAAAGCTCTCATTTGCGGCAATATGGAAATAAAATTCTGCTTTCTAAAATTCAAGACTTTTAAAATGCATTAATCCACACAGTTTATGAAATTGCTCTGGACATTTTAAAATCCTTTCTTTCAAGGGGGAAAAAAAAACTTGAGTAATTGGTAATAGTATTTGTTGCTGAGTTTCATAATGGAGTAGTGCACATCCAATACAGAACTTTTACAGACACAGAAATGGAGCAGGCATAATAGGACATAAAAAGCAGTTATGGTATCGGGTAAAGAATTACTCAATGGCTAAAAGAAAATGTTTGGAAACTCTATCAAATTATATTAGTAGAAAACTATTGTTATAATAGTTTCGTGGCCCAGGCAGAAATAGAGTTGAAACATTACAGAGATAATACATTTATAGTTTTGAGGAAGGAGGACAGTTTGGGAGTGTGTTGGCGGGCTCTTCTGGCTAATGGCAGCACCTCCCCTTGTCTGATGGCTTCTGGGTGATGACTGCACCATCCAGGCCACCATCACCATCCCCACTACCAAGAGGGCCTAAACCAGCCACAGTGCTGGGTAGAAACTGGAGCAAAGTGAAGGGCCACAGGCTCCCAGTCTTAAGAAGCAATTCATCTTCCAACAATTGTTGCCCTTGAGGGAGTATTGGCCCAAGGTTACCAGATTCTCTGACTCTGAAGACAGATTTCTCATTTCTCTAGATGGTCAACTATTTTGTTAAAAAAAAAAAAAAAAACCATTCTGTCTGGACCCAAGTCAGCCAACCTATAAGCCAAATCCATTACAAGACTCACTCCACAGTGAATCTTTGCAGAACTCTCTGTTCTAAAAAGGGCATATGCTATCATTTGTAATTATCTTTGGTAATATAGAGCAAACACGGAAAGGTGTGCATTTATTTATTTTAAATCCTGGCACTCGGTAAAGACTCCCCCTATATCATCAATGACGGTATTGGTACAACTGGAAAAATCCTATCACATACAGTTTAACACAGAGTCTAATTAACTCATTTTTATACCAAGCCCTTTTAAGCCAGATCTTTGTGTTCCATGGACTTCTAACATATTTTACTGTTCTAATTCTCTTCCACTGTCCTACATTAATCAAAGCTCTAACCCCTGTTGTCTTTGTACTATGGAATCAGAATGTGCCCCTGGCAAGGAATGGGGGAAAAGTCAACAGGAATTAAATTTCAGTGCAACTGTTTACTCAACTGTGGCCTGCAGTTATTGAAATTTTATCCGTGGTTTTGTGTGACTACCGCAGTAATGAATTCAGCATGGCTACGATTTTCTCACTGCTGGTTTTCTCACTTCAAGTAAAAACTTGTAGACTAAAAATGACGAAACAACTAAAGTCCATCGCCTCACACTCCTATTTCTGAAACTGTTTAATTGGTACAGTTTTCAGTCTGGAAGAAAACTCTGTTCCTCTGTGAAATGTTTTCAACCCTGTAGGTTTTCTTATTTCATCCACAGATTCTTCTTCTCCCAGCAACCTGTGAAGAGACTTATCATATACTTCGGAGAGTCAAACATCTGTCAATAGTTTATTTTAAAGGATCTAAAAAGGCTTGCCAGCTGCAATAAGTCGGATTTTAGCCACAAAGAAAGACCCAACCTCTTTTTTTCTTCCCCAAATATATCAATGACAACTAGAAAGCAAACTACCATATGATATTTTTTTAAAGTTGTGAGATATGGTCAAAAGCAGGTTCTTAACCTTTATATCAATAATCTGTAGCAATACATGTCCAGAGTAGTCACAGACAAGGTAAAGAGGGAAGGCCTGGATACCTCTTTGGCTCCTGATCCTTTTCAAGGAAGATACTGTTGAAATGTGCTACGTGACTTTGTTTTGTGCACTTAATTTGTAACTGCTGTTATTGTGTGTGTGTTTCTGTGTGTGTGTGTGTGTGTGTGTGTGTGTGTGTGTGTTTGTATGTATGTGTTTATGGTATACAATCTAAAGCTTTCTGGCTGATTTACTACTTGGAGAGCCTGAATGATTTTCAGCTCCTGAAATAAAATTCAGAAGTAATTTCCCAATTATTTAACTGGAAAATAGTACTGTAAATACTAATTCTTTCAGATTCATTCATCAGTCAATAGCCCCACCTCAAATGCTCCATAAAGAAATAGCCAATTCTGTGGAGAAGAAGGGATTGTGGCATGGTCATCACCCCAGGGGGTGATTTCTCACTTTCTCTGTCTCTGGCAAGAGAGGCAAGCTCACGTGCCCTATAGCAAAAATCTCTAAAAAAATTAAAAAAGAAAGAAAGAAAGAAAGAGTCAATTCTGACCCCTGTCTGGCAAATGCATATAAAATGGAACTCTAAATATCAGCTCTTCTCCATTTAACCACAAACAGCTGAGAGAATCACCTGAACTATTAGGTTGCTAGAAAAGTCACGATGTATTTTTCTATGCAAGAATGCGCCATGGCTTTTCTGATGACATGATATATTAGCACAAATACACGGATACTCCTCTGTTCTTTACCCTTAGGTTTTGCTAACGAGCTCACTAGATACTCTTGTCCTGTTTACTGCATCTACTCATTGGTTAGCACTGGCCCTCTACCTCACCTGAAATGTGTGAAGTCTATACACAACAAACATCATCAATTCCAGCTAATGCGGTGCCACGATGCCCAGAATGCAAACATAAATGGGTTTAGGCTGTAGGGGAAAGAAAGCATGATCCACCCACAGTATGTCTCCTGAGTTGACTTTGGCTGGTCTCTTAGTTACCTTTTCTTTTTCTTTGCCAGATCTTTCCCCCAGCAGATTCCACAGTCTCATACTGGCTCCAGTAACTTGTAATGAACTAACAATCTAATGATTCCTTGTATGTTTAAAAACTCTCAGGAAGGAGAAAATAACACACGCCTTAGAGCCTGTCAAATCATATATACGGAGGCCCGTTTCCGGTCCACTCTAAAAAGCTGAGCATGGCTGAACACCCGTAGTCACAGCTACTCAGAAGACTGAGGCGGGGGACTGTGGCATAGTGAGATCCTGCCTATTAAAAAGAAAGGATGGAAGGGAGGGAGGGAGGGAGGAAAAAAGAAATAGAGAGAGATGCCCACATCCCTAATATAAGAAGGGATTTTCTTACTTTTCTCTAACACAGATTCTAAAAAGAGGCTTCAGAAAAGGTCTGCATTTCTCTTCTTCTATCATAAAATACCTTTTGTATCTCCCAGTTAAACTCAAAAGGTACAGCATTTGTCTCTTTCACCTGTTTCCAAATGGCACCATAGTGTGTACAAAATACAAGAATCAAAGATGAGTATGGAATTAAAAACCATCCATTCCATGAGCAAAAATTAATAGTATTTCCTGATTCTAAGAAAGGCTGGAAACCTGTTTTCAAACAAAACAGGTTTTGTTTGTCTTACTCACTTATTTGAATTGTCATCAATACTTTGCCCATATAACACCACTTCCTGGGTCACCTTAACCATGTGGAAACAGCCTACTACCACTCCCAGGTGCCTACTTCCATACCTGCTAAGAGTATGGAACTGATCCAACATCTATGGGAGGCCCCAATAAGACATCATGGAAAGAATGAAGATTCAGTCACATGCCAACTACCATATAAACACAAGTATGTCAACACTCCGTATCCCTAAATTCCTACAGAGAGCAGTAAGCAGTCTGCTTCACTGTGCCCTTGTTAGGAACCTTTAGTCTGTTACTGACCGATTCTGCCTGTATTTCTACTCCCCATATTCACCTTCTCTTTTTTTCTACTCTAGCCCTTAATTCTTTTATCCCTTATCTCCTAATCTATTTCATTCTTCAAAAGGCTTAAACCCATTTTCTTTTTTTTTTTTTTTTCTTTCTCCCATGAAAGAGATAGGAATCATTTCTCCAAAGAGTCATTTCACTCAGAACAGTTGCAGGTTAGGTGACAGCTGGGGACTAGGAGGGAGTGGTCAGAGAGGTCCACTCAATCTTGGTCTCAAGAACTGTTTGCTGCAAGGGGACTTCCAAGACTTCCAACTGTTAATGACCTGAAAATGAGTCCCTGAAGCCAACAGACAGGAAACTCAGAGATGGCGGGCTTACCGGATGTCGATCACTGTCAGACAGACAGGCAGGTGGGTGCAAAACATGGACACTCGCTCGCTGTAGAGTGAAGTGGTAAAACACACACCCGCCACCATGCACCTGCCTCCACCCAAAGCGCAGTACCTGCTGCTGCTGCTGCTGGACGTGGGCGAGGTCAGCCGGCCCGATGTCCACCGCCGGCGTCTCTCCGTTGGAGCGCCCCTCCCGGAGACCGCCACACTCTAACAAGTGGTTGCCGCCGCTCGACCCATTCTGGATGGCTGAACTGTTACTTTTTGTCTCAGTCCCAGATTCTTGCATCATGACTCAAAAACCTGATAGAAGGATTTTTAGGAGGAGGGAAGGGAGAAAAAAAAAAAAAAGAAAGAAAGAAAAAAGAAGCTGTTAAAACAGTTGTTGGACATCAGGAGGAGAGCTCTGCTTTACATGCTGCCAAAGTCTGTATGCAGTTGTCATTTTCTTTCACTCAGTGTCTCCCTCACCCGTGGGCCAGCCCCCCAGTTTACAAATGTGAGGCTATTGGAAAGGGGTTAAAAGTTCACAGAAATGCATTATGAAAAGATGATGCATGGGTTTCCATTTTTTTTTACACCATAATGAACTTGTACTTGAATTCCATTTATCCCCCAACTTTTTAAAGTCCTCTTAATACTTTTGTTGTTGTTTGTTTTTTTAGGTTTCTACCATAGGGTGCATATATTTGCCAGAGAAAGACAGAAAGAAAATGAGAAATCACTCCCCAGGGGGACGGCCACACTGCAATCCCTTCTCCTCTCCTTTTCTCTTGGGATTTTGGACACACACCCATACACGGCCAGCATGATTTTCAAGCCACCAGAGCTGGGACTCAAACTGTGGTCAGCTATGTGGGAGACCAGTGCCTTAACTACCACACCACCTGCTGGCCCAAGTCTCCTTGTGTGGTTTTAAATACATCATCCTCTTCCCTTTGGGGGGAAAAATGTGTAGTTTTGGGTGGACCTAGAATTTAGGATTGACTTTCTCTGAATGTAACTGGAGTTTTGCTTAAAACCCAGTGAGTCACCCCATACAGCATACTAGGTATAATATTAAACTTCAATAGGTGCAGGCACTGTGTGGTGGTGGTACATTCTTAGAGAAATGCTCTCTAGTTCAAATCTATGAAGAAATGAATGACACATATTACCAGAAGACCCCCTGAGGTTAACTTGTGCTGAAAAACCTCACAGTCAAACACCAAAAAGCATTTTAGAGATTCACGCTCCTTGGAATCATTCAGGTACCGAAACACTTCAAAACCAGTCATTTCAATAAGATAGGCCAGCTCTAGAGATAGCTGGAAAAAAGACAAAAAGTTCCCTCTTTTCAGAAGCTAAGTAAATTCAGACTCTGAATTTTGTTTTATGGCTCCAATTGTCCTAGAAATCCCATTCATAGTTAGGTGTTTCTGAAGCCGGATTGCTGATTTCTAGTTTGAGGTATTGCCTGAAAAGTCTAGGCATTATAATATTTAATTTTGGAGAAAAATCTTATCAAAGCAGACCCAAGAAAAGGTCTGAGTTTAAAAGAACAAAACAAGGTTAGGACCAGCAGTTAGAGTAATGGCTATGTCGTTGTACTCCCATGTAGTCGACCGCGGTTCGAGTCCCAGACACAGTGACTTAAACTGATGCCAGGTGTGTGTGCATGCATGCCCAAGATCCCGAGAGAAGAATGGAGGAGAAGGGATTGCAGCGTGGCCATCACTGGGGGGTGGGAGGGGTGGTGGGTGATTTCTCGCTTTCTGTCTCTCTGTCTTTCTGGCGAGCGCACACACCCTACAGCAAAAACCTCTCAAAAAATAATAAATAAAATAAACAAGGCCATTTCTGTAGTCTTGTGGCTAAGGGAAACTGGATCCCTCATAGACAACTGTGGTTCGAGTCTCAGCCCCTGCAGTTTGATAAACATGCTGGGCACTTAAGGGTGTGTGCCCAACTCCTCACAGAGTAGAGAAAAGGAAAAGACTGTGATGTGATCATATGCCATTGGGGTCCTTCCTCTCTTTGCCTCTGCTTCTCTCTCTCGGTCTCTCTGTGCCTGACAAGCTCCTGCACCCTTTGGCAGCTTAAAATCAAACACTGGGGCTAGCAGGTGGCATAGTAGTTAGGGAACTGGATTCCCACATGGCTGAACACAGTTTGTGTCCCAGACCTGGAGGTTTGCTTTCTCAGTTTCCCTTTCTCTTTCTCTGGTCAAATTAAAGATCATAATGACAGTAAATGAAATTAAATAATTTTAAAAAATACTGAACATCTAATAGAGGAAAAATACATAGCACACAATGAGTAGCTAGAGAATTTCACCCAGGTATTTCACGTTCATCCTTGTCACTCTCTGGGCACAAAATGGTCATCTCAGAGAGCCAATTCAGCTCTCAGCGCAGTGAGGCATCCAAATCTGACAAAAGACAGGTGACATTTGCCAGTACCATCCATATCAGCAGTGTGTACCAGGACCTACTGCCGTAATTCATACACATTTCTCCAATCTGATGATAACTGCTGTCCCCAGTTTGCAGACGAGAAAACTAAGACCCAAGGACAGTTATTTTCATGCGTTCCCCCTATATTTCATAGCTACTAATGGTGCAATCAGGATGTCGATGGATTCACTCTACTCTCAAAGCTCTTAACCACAAAGTGTTTCCTTAATGCCCAGGCACAGTGCAGGCAAAACAAGGAAAAGGCAGGGCCACGTGTGAAGTTCATAGGCTAAAACTTGGAAGAGAAAAAAATAGTCAGTAAAGGGAGCTGGCAGTTCAAACATCAAAGCTGAGAAATGCCTGAGTAATTAAGACTTCAATGTGAAATACCAGTCCCAGATAAAAGGGCAAAAAACTTTTAACACGAATGTGTTCCAATCATGGAAGGACATATGCACAACCAGCGCTACAGATTTCTCCCCCATACATGAAATATGTGACAACAGGGAAATTTAAACACTTTGGACATCTTTAGAGGAGGTTGTTTTCTTGTTAGAAATTAGTTGAAGTCTGTTTTCTGCAGACTTGCACAGAAACCAAATGGAAGAATTAAAAGCAGGGCGGGGGGGATCACATCTTTCTTCATTTCCTTTTAGTACACAGTATGATCTGACTTGACTACAAACTTCATAAAAACAGAGGGCACTTTTTAAAGTTAATCCAATTCTAAAGTGAATGAAGAATGGCATTTTTTTGTTAACAGGTGGGAAACAAACTCAGAAGCAATAGCTGATTCACTCTCTTTCTGGATCAGACTTTCCAGCAATTACAGTTTTTATTTTAAAATAACACTTATAGGGGTCAGCGAGGCGGTGTGGTGGTTAAGGCACTGGACTCCCACATGGTCATGGTTCGAGTCCCAGATTCAGCAGCTTGCTTTCTCATTTCCCCTCTCTCTCTGGTAAGCACACCACATGCCCTATAGCAAATTAAAAATAACAATAGTAATAAATACAATTAAATAATTATTTTCTAAAAAACTGCATTCATAGTCTTCTTGTCCACACTGTGAAAAACAAACAAACAAACAAAAAAACATAGACAACTAATGGACCAGCCCTGTAGTATAGCGGTAAAGGGAGCTAGATCTCGCGTGGCCAGTTGTGGTTTGAATCCTGACACTGGCAGCTTGAAAACAGGATGGAATGGAGAAATGGAGGAGAAGGGCTTGTGGCATGACCAAGCCCCATTCTGGGGTGCTTTCTCCCTCGTCTCTCTGTCTCTCTCTTGCAAGCACACATCCCTCTGGCAACAAAAACAATAACAAAACAACACCTTTCCTAAGATACAAGAACTAGAATAAAACATACTTTGTGATACTACAAGTACCTTATTCATCACCAAAAAAGAAACCAACTTGTAAAAACCTATTTTTCTCACTATTTCCATTTCTCTCCCACAAACTTGCCCATTTGTATAGAATAAGAAAAAGTATTCAGATATTTAAGAGAGAGAACAATTGTCCCAGAGTAGGTAGCAAGAAACCTATTTCATTATTAGAATATGTCACAAACTAACCTAAAGAAAAGACAGACTGGAGTCAGCAGCACGTGGCATGAGGGTTAAGGCTCTGGACTCCCACATGGCTGACTATGGTTTGAGCCCTAGACCAGGAAGCTGGAAAATCACACTGAGTGATTTTGTGCATGTAACCCAAAATCCCAGGAGGAGAATGAAGAAGATATTGTGGTATGGCCATCCCGCCAAGAGGTGATTTCTCACTTTCTCTCTCACTGTCTCTCTCTCCAGCAAGCACATGCACCCTATAGCAAAAACCTAAAAAA